TTTGGTGAGTCCTCATAGCTTTGAAGACAAACCCATTGTTACAGTTTATGTCTTTTATTTTACTTTTAGAGCTTTTGTATGGGCTATGTCCGAAAGTATTATTCAAGTATTGTAGATGGTTTGAGACATAGTGTCATAGACTCCCGGCTATTTTTATAAAAGACTTCGATTGTAAAGAAAAGATTTAAATTTCCACAAAATTTCTTATGTTCTTATGTTATGATATGCTAAGAGACGTGTATAAGGCTCTTCAAAGTTTTGTATACCGTGTTACATCTAGGGGGTACTCTCGGATCGTAACAGCTGGTTGGGTTTTGATGTGTTGAGGTAGAGTTGGAACAATGGGTGCTCTTGATGGTTCAATAATCTGACCTGGTGATTGTTCAATAGTTATGGTGTCACTTGGAGCCAAATTTGGATGTATTATGCCTAGATCAAGATTTTCTTGTAGTGGAATTTGTCTTGGCAAAGTTTGATTAGAATCATCAATCGACAATGGCAAAGGTACTCGTGGTTTTTTTTTAGTGTAAAGAGTATTTTCTTTATAAGGAAAAACTCTTTCATGAAAATTCACGTCACGAGAAACAAATACTTGATGTGTTTTCATATCATAGACCTTGTAACCTTTATGACCATATGGATAACCCAGGAAAATACAAGGTGTGCTCTGTCATGAAATTTATCACGAGATCGTGGAATAACCGAAGCATAACAAAGACATCCAAACACACGTAAATGTGCATAAGAAGGTTTTGAGGAAAATAACAACTCATATGGGCTTTTTCTGGACAAAATGGGTGATGGTGTGTAATTTATTAAATAAGTTGTTGTTAGAACACACTCTCCCCAAAATTTTATTGGTAAACCAGCATATGGAACCTTAAGGATCTAGCGACATCAAGTAAATGTCGGTGTTTACATTTTACTACACCATTTTGTTGGGGTGTAGAGATACAAGAAAAATGATTTTAGATTCCTTCTTCCCGACAACATTGTTGAAGTGAACTATTAGTAAATTTCGTGTCGTTGTCACTACGAATGATTTTAACAAGACTATTGAATTGTCTTTTTACCATGGCAAGAAAGAAAATTAATAAATGAGAAACTTTAGTTTTAACCTTAAGCAAATACACCCAAGTACTTGTGGTAAATCATCCACGATGGTCAAGAAATAATGAGACTTTGACAATGAAGGTGAATGATATGGACCCCATAAATCACAATGAGTCAAATCAAAAGCTTCTTTAGATTTAATAGAACTAACAGGAAATGACTTCCGAATTTGCTTAGCTCGGTGGCAAGCATCACAATAGTCATCCAACTTATTAAAATTTAAAAAATTGAAGTTCTGAAATGAAAGACAAATGACTAAAAGACACATGACCAAGATGTTGATGCCACAGAACCGTCTGGTCTTTATTTGACAAAAGAGCTAGAACTAGTGCTTGGCTTTGAAAATAATAAAGGCTATTCTTCAGTTTACCCATGTCAATCAGCTTCCTTGTGGCTAAGTCCTGCCGAACACAAAAGAAAGGGAAAAAATGAGCAACACAATTCAATGATTGTGTCAGCTTACTGATAGAAATAAGGTTGCAAGAAAACATGGGTACGTGTAAAACATGATTTAAGGTTATTGAAGAATTAAGAGTCACATCTCCACAAGTATTAGCAGTAACAAAAGAACCATCAGGAATAGTTATATTAGAATCAAAGAGAAACTTTATTTCATTAGACAAAAAATTATTCTGACAAGTTATATGATCAGACGCTCATGAATCTAATATCCATTCATAATTAGCGGCAGGAAAAGTAACAGCCTTACCAGCAAAGTTAGCCATTAAATCAATACCTTTGGAGTTATTGAGGCTTAAAAGCACCATGAGCTGGTTATATTGTTCTTTTGATAAACCACTTATTGGGGAGGATTCAATACGTTAGATAGTTTTGAGACATCACGATTTCTAATCCATACACACGAGCAAGAGTTGGTAATGGTTCAGTATTTAAGATCTGAGATCGAACAACATTAAATTTGTCATTCAATCTCATTAGAAATTGATGAACCTTCTCTTTTTCCTTTATGTTATGTATTCCTTAATAGCACCACAACTGCGGTTTGGTAATTGAGAATATGATCCATACTCATCACATAATCCCTTCAATTTTGTGTAGTAAACACTCATTGTTTGATTATGTTGTTGTGTATTTACGATGTCCATCTTCAACTGGTGAACTCGAGGAGCATTCCCTTGTGAAAATCGCTCCTCCAAATCTTTCCAAAGTTCACCTGTCGTATCAAAAAAGCTACACTACTGTAAAGGGAGGGATGAAGAGAGTTGAAAAGCCAAGATATTACCATGGAATTCCCCTTAATCTAGGTGGCTTCATTTGTAGAGTTTGTTGTGGGTCGCTGAAGACTACGATCAACAAAGCCTAACTTTAATTTAGCCAACAAGTCATTCCTCATGGCCCTCCTCCACGTCGAATAGTTATCTTGTGTGAGCAAACATGTGACCAGAGACACTCCAGGATTATCAGACACTCCAGGATTATCAGTTGGTTGCAGCGTGTATGGAGAACTGGCAGCTTCGTTATTGTTTCTTGTCATTATTTTGTTATTGTTTGCTAACGTTCTAATACCATGATAAATGTGGTAAAATAGAGTATCGATCTTATTCTAATACTGAAAAAGCAAGGTGCTCTTTTATAGATACAAAATACAGGAACAACCGATGTAGTTAACTCCTACAAGAATACAAACTCTATATCTAGAAGAGTCTTATACGATACAAATTGTATACCAAATCTTGATAATCCTTATTTGATCATGTGACCAAAGGAACATGATATACCAATTTTCAAAGAGTATATAAGTTTCCAAGACCCTTTTGGGTTAAACTAATATTCCTCTATTGATTAATACGGTCGAAATTAATAATGTAGAATGTAGAAGAGAGCAATTGACCCGTATGATTCTCATGTCGACGCTTAACGCATAGTTTATATGCACATCCAAAAAATACAGACTTATATGAGGTTCAATAAAATAAAATAAAAAGGAGAGTAATTGGAAGAGTGAATTATCGAGTTTGTAAAGGACTTCTCCCAAAGCCATGTGAAAAAAACAGCTTTTGTTAATCTTCTTGGTATAAAGCGACCACGCCCCTTTGCTTTGCAATCATTTGGTCTACTTTCCTACAATTCCCATCTATATTCTCTCCTTTTTGTAGAAATTACAATTATTCACTAAACATGAATTATAATAACCTTAAAAAAATGAGTTAAACATGCTAGAATTGTTCACTAATAGTGTATATATATAATAATTATTGCTAATAATCCCTCAAATATAGCATCATTACACATTATTACAACGGACAAAAATAAAGGAGGACATCTAGTGATTATAGTAATGTGAACAAAAGAAAGTATAAGATATATTAGTTTAGTCATCCAAATTATTGTTATACATATTTATATCACAGTACTGTAGGAACAGAGCTAAAAGTTCAGATATAAATTCGGCCAAATTATTAGGTTTTTGTTTAAATAGTATATTTATATAAAAAAATTATATATAAATATAGTACTAGTTTAGAACTCAAACCATTAAAAAATTCATAACCCATAACATTAAAATTCTGATTCAACCGCTCAATAGATTTCTGATATAGGAAGACGAGAAACCTGCTCGTGCGGACGAGGCATTCACGCTGGCATATTATATTAGGTTTTGTGCAAAAGGACAAAAATGCTCATGTTTAAATCCAAGGAACAATTGCGTTTGGTTAGTGAAAAGATGGTACTGAATAAATTCTATATAATGTGGATCTAAAATTATTTTAGTCGACATAATTTTATTGGTAGATATTTGGATCATTAAAAAGAAAGGGGGGGGGGGGGGGGGGCATATAAGGGGTATAATACAAGACATGTGCATATTTTTTTTCTTAATAACGGAAGGGTTTTATTTAATAATTATAATGAGCTTTAGCCATGAACTAATCTAAACAATGTAATTTTCTTATCATCTCTTTCTAGTGTGGAAGATATAAACGAAGGAGATGCTTCAAAAACAAAAGGTTGTCTATTATTCATATTTGGATTCGTAGATTTCCTTCTGTATATTGCTAGTAGGTGCCGGAATCAAAATCTAATCAAATGCAAAATGAAATATTTCTATTTTTATTTACTTTTAATTACTACTTTCATCGGACTACTTTACTTGTCACACTTCTTATTTCAACGCCCCTTCAGAAACTATATATTTTGACTATAATATTTTTATTTATTATTTTAACCATTAAAATGTTAATATCTCTTTAATGAATATTTTCTCTTTAATCTCTCTTTAATAAATAAAAAAGAGGTAATTTAAGCAATAATAGTATTGGAGTATGTGTATTTGTTCTTCATTTAGATTTTCTATGTTAAATTTGTCAATATTTATATTTTCAAGAATAATATACTTAATTATATTTTGATTTTTTAAAACTAATATAGACCATTTAATTTTAATAATGATCACAAGTAAAGTGATTAGAGAGTAGGTACTTTTACTTCAATTTATACATTTAAAATTGTAAATTAATACATTATATTTCATTGTAGTTAGCCAAACAAATATATCGAGATCCATAAGAACAATCAGGTGAAACATATTAGTTTAATTATATAATTCTTTTATAGGAGAAAATATAATTACAAATGATCTTAATAAGATTATTTTTTTCTATTTACTGGATATAAAAAGAAAAAAATTGAATCTTCTTTTGGAATAAAAAAAAAAGGAAAAAGAAAATTAGCACCCTCCCTACCCACAAAAAAAATCCCAAAATAAAAAAGAAATAAGGGATATTTGCTAATACCTTCACTTGTCTGAATATAAATATAACATGAATTTGTGAGACATAACCACACTAGGCCTCCTCTCATTCATGTTTCTCCGGTAAAAACCACACACCAAAAAAAATACTACAATTAACCACAAAACACTAGTGAAAATTGAGTTTCTGGTTTGCTAATCTAAATACAGGAGATAACAGTGTATATATACATATTTTCATCAGTTATCTCAAAAAAAAATTTGAGAGGAATTAAACAGGAATAGCAAGAAGATATGGCATTATCTTCTAATGACAAAGTAGTAGAGACAGTAATTGTTGGAAATTATGTAGAAATGGAGACTGAAGGTAAGTCTATAAACGTTAAGTCCAAAATCTCCAATTTTTTCTGGCACGGTGGCTCTACTTATGATGCTTGGTTTAGCTGTGCCTCTAATCAGGTACTACAAAATTTGTCCGTCGCTAATTCCTGTTTGTTTTTGTAGTAGTGTATTTGATGACTTATATTTTTCATTTGTCAAATGTCAGGTAGCTCAAGTTCTATTGACTCTGCCATACTCATTTTCTCAATTGGGGATGATTTCTGGGATTTCATTTCAGCTTTTCTATGGTTTATTGGGTAGTTGGACTGCTTATCTCATTAGCATCCTCTATGTTGAGTATAGAACCAGAAAAGATAGAGAAAAAGTCGATTTCCGCAATCACGTTATTCAGGTAATTTATTTGTTCACTGCTATTTTTGTAGATATTTTAATTGAACCAGTGAGAAAAAAAAAAACGATAGTAATGTTTTCATACACAAATAGGATATTTCCTATTTCAGTGAGAACCAATTCTCCATCGTGCATTTTTTGGTGAGAAAATCATGTATTGTAGCACAAATTGCTTATTGATTTGCGGTGGGAAAAACCTTTGGTTCTAGTAGTGATTCGAAGTTGGAGGAAAACGAAAATTATTTAGAATTTGATATTTGTTAGTTTATTTAATTTGTATTTAAATAGAAAATCATCCAAATTTGCTTATGTTTTTAACTTTTCTTATAGTGGTTCGAAGTTCTTGATGGGCTGCTAGGGAAGCATTGGAGAAACGTTGGTTTGGCATTTAATTGCACTTTCCTACTCTTTGGATCAGTTATTCAACTCATTGCTTGTGCAAGGTTCCTAATTTTTACTAAAAAAAATTTTCGCATCCAAATTGTACAATACTTTTTTCGTTTTAATTTGTTTGTTTGATTTTGACTTGCAGTAACATATATTACATAAATGATAATTTGGACAAGAGGACTTGGACTTATATCTTTGGTGCTTGTTGTGCCACAACTGTCTTCATTCCTTCTTTCCACAATTATAGAATTTGGTCTTTTCTTGGCTTGTTGATGACCACTTTCACTGCTTGGTACCTTACTGTTGCATCACTACTCCATGGCCAGGTACCTACTCGTTATATAATAAGATCAAACTCGTTACGTTATAAATTTACTGACTCTAAATTTTGTATTTGCATCAACTCCCAATATGTTGTATACATAGGGGTGGAGCTACATTGGTGGTTATGAGTTCAGTAGAATCAATAACTTTGATTCAAATCATATATTTGTTATCACTTGTGAGTTGTGACATGTGAATACAAAGTTTGAAGATTCTAGTCTAAGTAAACCTTTAATCATAACAGTATGTGGGGGTTGGATATATATTTAATAATTATTTTCTTAGTTATGCATTATTAATTAAGGGATTTCATTCTAATTTCTTGTAATTAATAAGGTGGAGGGGGTGAAGCACTCAGGACCAACCAAATTGGTGCTATATTTCACAGGAGCCACAAACATTCTCTATACATTTGGGGGACATGCTGTTACTGTGTAAGCCTACAAAACATTATTTTTATATGTTACGTCTTTTTAATGTTAGTAATATCCATTCTGACCAAATTTTCTGGCCATTTAGCATTATCCTTTAATTTATATGTTGCAAGTACGAGGTCCTTGTCTCACTACCATAAATCCATAAACTAAAAAATGTAGAAAAATACAATTTACTTTAACGCTATTGTTATTATGTTGAAAGTGACTTCACCTTAACATGTTTCGACATATTCTGAGAAGTAAATATCCAATTTGTCGATAAAAGTTTTAATCTTAGCATTTACGACACCATGTCCAATCGTTATCAAAATGCTACATTATTTTGTATAGTGTTTTTTTTCTCACTTGGTGTCTAGTATCCGTGTTAGAATCCAGCTATTTCAGATTCATGCGTAGGGCCCCACTCGGGGAGAAGCACTTACTACCAAGGATCTTTTTTATACCCAGAACTCATACCCAAGATCTCTGATTAAGGGAGAAGCAACATCATTCACTACACTACGTATCCACATCCTTTAATTAGTAGTTATTTTGTATAGTTGTGTGTTCACATTTCATTCTAACATTATTTGCATGTGTTAATGTAAACTTTCAGCATCTCTTTTTTTCAATAAAAAGGAATGAGAAGCAAAAAAGTCTCACTTTTTACCCTTTTCAAGTTGAAAAGCAACAATGGTTTTTTTTTTTTTTAATGTTGGAAAGCTACAATTCTTTTTCCAATTACTTTTGCTTTTCCTGCACAATTATTCAATGAGAATGGAAGAGGCTATGATGGAAAAAAAAACATAATTACCAGCTGGAACCTTTAAGAAATTAACTAAAAGAAAAGGATTTTAGTTTTCTATTAATTATTTAAAATTGAATTAATTACCAACTTAATTAATTAAACTGCAGAGAGGTAATGCATGCAATGTGGAAACCACAAAAGTTCAAGGCAATATATTTATGGGCAACAGTGTATGTGTTGACACTAACACTTCCATCAGGAGCAGCAGTGTATTGGGCCTTTGGTGATTTGCTACTTGATCACTCCAATGCCTTCTCTCTTCTCCCTAGAACACCCTTAAGAGACATGGCTGTCATCCTCATGCTCATCCATCAGGTATACACTAATGTATAGTCGTTCATCAAAATAATAGTCAGCAAATATTTTATTTTTATATTATTATATGATATATATAAAATATATTTTTTTGTTTTTATTTATGTGACGTAGTTCAAATTTCAAGAGTCAAACTTCTTTATTTTGACTGTGCATTTGGATATATAATGGGTAAGTTTTTTGAAAAATAATTTACATATTTAGAAACTATATAAAAAAAAATATTATAAGTCACAAGAATTAATATTTTAAGGGCATACAATAAATCGTTGTCAAAGATTTTCTTTTTTGACTCGCGAAATTCAAACTATATCATGTAAATTGGGACAAAAAGAGTAAATTATATTTTATGCAAAATAGTATGTTTTTTGTATATATATATATATATATATGGAAAGTCATTGTAATTATTTTCATAAATAGATCGAATATATAACTTTCATTTTAGATACGTAAATATTCATAAAAAGTTTGATAACTCGGAAATAAGGTACACTACTTGATAAAACATGCAACTTGGGTAAGTTAAATCATTTTATTTTATTTAAATTATATATATTGATAATCTAGAGGTATTTTACACGTACAATACTATCAGTATAGTTTAACATGTGATAACAAATTAGTTCTTTTTTACGAGGTTATCAACGTTGCACTAATCATATAAATTTACTTGTAATTATCTTACACAGTTTGTTGTGTGTAATTGCAGTTTATAACATTTGGATTTGCTTGTACTCCCTTATATTTTGTGTGGGAGAAGGCCATAGGGATGCATGATTGTAACAGTTTGTGCAAAAGGGCAGCAGCAAGGTTGCCTGTGGTTATTCCTATATGGTTTTTGGCAATAATTTTCCCATTCTTTGGGCCAATAAATTCAACAGTTGGATCACTTCTAGTTAGCTTCACTGTTTACATTATCCCTGCTCTTGCTCACATGTTCACCTTCAAATCTGCTGCTGCTAGAGAGGTATACATTAAATCTGGCTATATTAAACTTTACAAAGTAAAAATTAATGATCCTAGGATTGATTTTATGAACCATTATACATGTAATATACATATGTATACATATAATATTCATAATTAGTGTATAGATTATGTATATATATCGGCCATAATTGTAAATCAATTTAGCTGAACGGTACATATTGATAAGTTTTTCAATAATCTACTTATATATGAAAAATGGGATTGATGTCGTTTCTTCAACTCCAAACTTAAAACCGAGTAGTACTATGATGAGTGACCCCGATCCTGATGTCACTCCCTTTAGTGTGACACTTGTTGAACCCTCAAGGCTCAATTATTTGTTTAAACTATGCTTCTTGTTGTGATTCATCATCAATCTAATACTGGTTATTACACATATTGTTATGGCAGAATGCAGTAGAACAACCCCCAAGATTTGTTGGAAGATGGGCAGGCACATTCACAATAAACATATTTGTAGTTGTTTGGGTATTCATTATTGGCTTTGGATTTGGTGGTTGGGCTAGCATGCTCAATTTCATTCATCAAATTGACACATTTGGTCTATTCACCAAATGTTACCAATGTCCATCTCCTAAACAATTCCCCATCCCACCTCCGCCTTACACCGCCGCTGCTCCACAGCCTGCTCCGGCCAACTTCACTCACCCTTGAGTTAATCAAATAACTAAGCCTTGTTGGCTTTATTTTTTTGATATTTTTTGTAACCTTTCCCAGGGAAATTTTTATTTTTAGCTAGGTTTAGATATTGATTGGAAGTTGTAATGGAGTATGCCACAAAATTTGCAATTCCCTCATTCTCTTTATGATAATTGTTGATCTTCTATTATGCTATTTTTCTTTTATTCTCTAACTACAAGAGGTTTGTTTTATCGATTTCCACATTACACATGATTTTTTTTTAGCAATGGTCACTAAGTTTGTTGTTTAGTGGTTATTTCAATTAGTAATATTAAAAAATATATATATAGATATTCTTACAAATAACCAGAAATGAAATGAAAAAAATTAACTTATTTGATGCTAAATTGCACTAACTTAGCATTACTACATGAAATCTTATAGTCTTGAAATTTGTTCTCCTGCTAATGGTGAGCTATCAACTTTTGCTTCTACTATTCAGTATAGTCGCCAGAATATCCTTTGCATTTCCAGTTGATCAGTTTTTGTTAGTGGACTTGAGATATCTACGTCTCAGCCTAAATACTTTATTATTTATATTTTTCATTTGTTTTTCAACTATAATTTATTGTATTTATAGTAATACAAAAAAAAATTATTATAACTAGAAATGAACTGGATTTTTTTTTTTGAATTAGCAATAGTAATTAGGAATTCTATAACTAAAATGAAGCTTGATCGATTCCATCAACTTGGTATTACAACATCAACAAGAAACCGTATTAACTAATTTAGGAGGTGAAGATTGTTTAAGTCATATTGTAAGCGTCTAAAGTTTCAATCCTGAAATACAGTAAACAGGAAAAGAAAAATAGCAAGCAAACAATAATATTTGTATTTGAATTAATGCGAAGGTTACAATCTTTATGAAATCTCTTAAAAAGATATGTAATCCCCTGATTCTTCTCTCCACAGATGTTCTTGATTTGGCGGAATACTTGCGGCTCAATACTTGGAGCGAAGACTTCTTTGTATGCGGAAGACTTGCAGATCACCAATGAAGAGCAACTATGTATTTCTGTGTGTATGTATGTATATATGGGTCTATCCTTTGGTCTTATGAAGACCTCTTTATATAGGCTTGAACTAGGGCTTTAGGGGTATTTTGGTCCAAGCAATTTTGGCCCCTGGGCCTGAAGGATATGAGTTGGGCTCATCTTGTCAATTTAATGGACTGACCCAAATGTTATTTGGACTTGATTTAAGTTATATAATTCTGACATAAATATTAATCCGACTTTATTAACCAGTAATTTGACTTGGTCAACGTATCGTGAATTTAAGATTTAATCCAAATTTAGTATGGATTTATCAATAAAACTTCACTGTCTACAAATGCCCCCTGCTTCGAGGCTTGTTGCGGTGTCCAACTTGTTGAACCTTTAAAGACAAGGCTTGAAACATTCGTAATATTTTTTTTTTTTTTTTTTGAGTCTTCCAAAACTTTCCATATTTGATTCCAATGAAAATTTTCCATCACTTGATTCCAATGGAATTTTCCATAACTTGATTCCTATAGAAACTTACCATAATTCGGTTCCTAGGAAAATTTACCATAATTTTGTTTTAAATATGGTTTTTTCATAATTTGTAGGAACACAATTTATGTACTTTTGATTTCTATAAATACACATATTCTTGTCAACTTGAGGCATACCAAACTCAATTTTCGTCACTTTTTTTTTCCAGCACAGCACGTCTGTGGTAGAAAATTCATAACTTGTTGTAGAATCGTCGAAATCATGACCCGTTTGATGTTCCAGAAACTACACTCAGAGGGCTACGACATATCCGAAATTCAAAATCAAAACCCTTCTGAATTGATGGGAATTGATTTTTGAAGTTTGCTATCAAATCTGTCTTCTTTTTTTTATATCTCTATGCAGTCCCACCAAATCGTCTCTATCGTGGTGTAGGAGAATCCAAATGACGAACAACTTATTTCTACAGAAACTAGACATCAAAGTCTACAACATATCCAAAAATCAAGGTAAAATTCTTCATGGATTGACGAGAATTAATTTTTGAAGTTGGTCTTCAATTCTGTCATTATTGTTTTGCAGATTGTGGAGTCTCACCAAAACGTTTGCATCTTGGTGTAGGAGAGCTAGAAGACCGACTTGATTCGATAGAAAATTGACTCTTAAGTCTACAACCTATCCAAAAATTAAACTCAAAGTTCTCATGAATTCACCAAAATTGATATTTTTAAATTTAGCGATCCAATTGACTTTGGACAACATCCATGAGTTCACTTCTCTGCATCTTCGCCGAAGAGCCGCTTATTGATTTCTGCATTGATTGAGAATTTTGTCATCATCTACATGGAGAGACAACATAAAACTCTTGAGCCAATAGGACCACATTCATCATGACGAGCGCAAGAGCATATGCCATAATTTTCACCATGTCGATTTGAAGCTTCGTGCAATTTGCACCATGAGACACATCACTTTTCCTTTTTTCTTGCAGGTTTATGATGGACCGCAAAAAGTCTCAATATCATACCAAAAAAATGTGAGGTGTAATCCATAATTGGTGAGGAACCATTTGGTGCACAATTTTTTTTAGCGATTATTGCTTTGGTTGAGATGAACCACACTTCGTGCATCTTCTTTTGTAACTGCGGCTTTTACGACGAACTGCACTTGGTGCATTTTATTTTGCATTTACGGCGACACATGATGCATCTACTTTTGTAGTTTCAACTTTGATGACGAACCACACTTGGTGCCTTTTCTTCTGCAATTGCGGTTTTAGCGACGAACCATACTTAGTACACCTTCTTCTGCAATTGCAGCTTTGATGACGAATCATACGTGGATCATCCTCTTTTAGAGTTGTGGCTTTGATGACGAACCACACATGAAATATCTTCTTTCTTTTCGCAGTTGCGGCTTCGACGACGAACCACACTTGATGTCTCTTCCTTTGTAATTGCGGCTTTAGCGATGAACCACACTTAGTACATCTTCTTCTACAATGGCGGCTTTGATGAGGAATCATATGTGGATCATCTTCTTTTAGTGTTGTGGCCTTGATGAAGAACCACACATGATTTTTAAAAAAAAAATTTTTTGCAGATTGCGACTTCGACGACGAACCACACTTGATATCTCTTATTTTGTAGTTTCAACTTTGATGACGAACCACACTTGGTGCCTCTTCTTTTGCAATTGCGGCTTTAGCAATGAACCACACTTAGTACATCTTCTTCTACAATTACGGCGCGGAACATCTTCTTTTAGAGTTGTGGCTTTGATGAAGAATCACACATGAAATATCCTTCTTCTATTTTTTGCAGTTGCGGCTTCGACGACAAATCACACTTGATATCTCTTCTTTGGAGGATCTTGTCGAGAATTTCTTCAAGTCGTACGCACAGTATGATACTTTAAGATCATCAAAGATGACTAGAGAATCGCATGAAAAGGCCCTCTCTGATGCGCAACGCCCATCTCGATGGTGCAAAGCTGGCACATGAAAAGTTGAATGGATCCATGGAGAAACTTCAAGCAACTCTAGCAGGTGTGGAGAAAGACTTAAAAGCCTTGACTTCCAAGAGAAAGATAGTCACTGCGCTCATTAACAAATATCAGGAGAAGCTGTCCAAAAGTCAAGAGAATGTCACCATTACAGAGGGCGAGATTTATACCATTGAGGCAAATAATGTGATGTCTAACGATGAAGTTGAGAGACTAGCCAAGCTAGAAGGGGCAGTTGAGAAAAGTCGCCAAGAAATCATAAACTTCAAACTTCTTCCGTAGTTAGATTTTTTTAATTACTTGCTTAGGATTTTCTAATTCGCTCATTATTATGGTGTAGTGGTTCTTTTTTTGAAGCAATAAAATAGTGACTTATATTTCAATAAGAATTTTCTCCTCTTGAATTTTGATTGTTTCTTTCCACGAGCCTCATTTCCTTATTAAAAAAGACTCCATAAGCTAGCGTTTATATGAGGATACCAACAAAACGTTAACTTTTCAGCTTTCTTCAGCTTTGCACACATGAGGAAGAAAATTCATAACGTGGAGTAGAAGCGCCGGAATAATGAGCTTCTTTTTTTTTGTTGGAAAGACGACTTCGAGATCTTCAATCCATATAAAAATCACGTCTATAGGATTTACGGATTAATACAGATTTTTCTTCAAAGTCAGCTCAAAATCTGGGTGCTTGAATTTTCAGCTTTCTTCAGCTTTACGCACATGTGGAAGAAAATTCATAACGTGGAGTAGGAGCACCGGAATAATGAGTTTCTTTTTTTGTTGAAAAGACGACTTCGAGATCTTCAATCCACATAAAAATCACGTCTATAGGATTTACGAATTAATTCATTTTTTTTTTCAAAGTCAGCTCAAAATCTGGGTACTTGAATTTTCAGCTTTGTTCAGCTTTGCGCACATGTGGAAGAAAATTAATAAGGTGGAGTAGGAGCGCTGAAATAATGAGCTTATTTTTTTGTTGGAAAGACGACTTCGAGATCTTCAATCCACATAAAAAATCACGTCTATAGGATTTACGGATTAATACAGATTTTTTTTTCAAAGTCAGCTCAAAATTTGGGTGTTTGAATTTTCAGCTTTGCGCACATGTGGAAGAAAATTCATAACGTGGAGTAGGAGCGCCGAAATAATGAGCTTCTTTATTTTGTTGGAAAGACGACTACGAGATATACAATCCACATAAAAAAACACGTCTATAGGATTTACGGATTAATACAGATTTTTCTTCAAAGTCAGCTCAAAATCTGGGTGTTTGAATTTTCAGTTTTCTTCAGCTTTGCGCACATGTGGAAGAAAATTCATAACGTGGAGTAGGAGAGCCGGAATAATGAGCTTCCTTTTTTGTTGGAAAGACGACTTCGAGATCTTCAATCCATATAAAAATCACGTCTATAGGATTTATGAATTAATACAGATTTGTCTTCAAAGTCAGCTCAAAATCTTGGTACTTGAATTTTCAGCTTTTTTCAGCTTTGCGCACATGAGGAAGAAAATTCATAACGTGGAGTAGAAGCACTGGAATAATGAGCTTCAATTTTTGTTGGAAAGACGACTTCGAGAGCTTCAATCCATATAAAAATCACGTCTATAGGATTTACGGATTAATACAGATTTTTCTTCAAAGTCATCTCAAAATCTGGGTACTTGA